AAGAATGAGAAGAGGAAAGGCTGGCTGGTCTGAAGTTTAGGGAGTTGCATGAACTCCTGAGCCCTTTGGGCACAGACCTAGCCCCTGATGGCTATGGTTGAGAGTGAAGAGGCCAGCTGGTATGAAGTGCATGGAGGTGTGTGTGAAGTCCCAAACTTGCAGCTGGTACTCATTTGCCTTAGCTTTGGTTGCTAGGGTTGAGTTGTGACCAGAAACTTTCCAGATAATGATAAAGATGTTTGACACTGTGAGAAAGTGTAAATTGCTACAATTAGTTAGTTTGGACGTTTGTTTATGGATGCAGTTGCTGAAAATTCCAACAGGAGTGGAAAATTTTTCAGATCAAAGAACATGCTTGTCTCCTCCGTGTACTGGGTTGATGGTGGTGGTGGTGGTGGTTATGTGCCGTGGAGTCAGTTCCGACTCACAGCAACCCTGTACAGGGTTTCCGAAGTTTTATGGGAACAGAAAGCCTGATCTTTCTCCCATGGAACAGCTGGTAGTTTCAGACTGCTGATCTTATGGTTTGCAGCCTGATTCATAACCGCTATGCTACCAGAGGGTAATTTAGATTTTCACTATCAAAAGTGGGGGTGGGAGGTACCTATAAAGACATGAAGTGACTGGCTTACATGATTTCATGGGTGTGGTCAGTCTTAGAATGAGGGAACAAAGGAGAATCCCTACTGACTAGTCTTCCTTTTTACCAAAATGGTCTGGAAAAAGTGGAGTGGGGGATAATGCTGATAGGATTTTATGATTTCATTTATGAGTAGTTATTAGTAGGATTAATTGTGATAGTCAAAACTGTAATTGTAGAAGATGTGTAACAAAAAGGAGGGAGTAGTTATCATTCAATTCAGGAGCAATTCCAGGACCATCATTAAGGAAGAGCATGAGTAAAGCGTGGAATCACTGCCTGGAAAAGCAGCAACAGCAGAGATGGTGGCAGAAGCAATGGCATGGAGAGACAGAGCAGCTTTGGACTCTAGGCCCATGGACCAAGCAAGGTTGTATGCCTACAGGCAGGAGGCTGCTTTGCAGAATGTGACCTTCGGACATTTACTTGAATATATATTTTTTGTTTTGTTTTATATGTCTGCATCACAGATTTTGCTTTTTTAATTTGTGATGTATATGATGTAATTGAGGCTGGTGCATTTTTGGTTGCATGTGTTTTAGTTATATCATGTTAGATGCAAGCATGACTACAGTTTGCTTTATTTAGAGATTATGAATATAATTTATAGGTGTCAAGTTGACAAGGGTAGGCTTTAGTAGGGTTTTGTGCCAACTTAATTAGGCCAAGATTTCCAGAGGTTTAGCAGTTGAGATGAGCTTATTCCCATCCTGATGAAACCTGATACAAGCATAGTTAACTCTATGATGAGTGACTATGAGTGTGGCCTACTCCCAATATAATGGACACATGAAAAAGCCTCTCTCTCTCTTCCACTGGAGACCTGGAACTCTGCAATTTTAAGCCACTTCCTTGATAATAAACTTATCTTTACATATATATATTTGGTGGTGGTGTGCTGTGAAGTCAGTTCCAACTCATAGTGACCCAGCATAGGGTTTCTGAGGCTGTAAATCTTTACAGGAGCAGAAAGCCTCATCCTTCTCCTGTGGAATGGTTGGTAGTTTCAAACTTCTGACCTTGAGGTTAACAGCCCAACTCATAACCACTATGCTACCAAAGCTCCACATATATCTATACATAGATATTGATGTATCTATATATCTATATCTACTTAATCTATCTATATACATATATATGTTTTACAGGTTTTGATTCTCTAGAAAACCCATTTTATTGTTGTTGTTGTTAAATGTCATCAACTAGGTTCAGAGGAAAGGCTCCTTATGTACATAGTGAACTTATATACAACAGAACAAAACACTGCCGGTTCTGTGCCATCCTCACCATCATTATTATGCTTGAGCCCATTGTTTATGCCACTGGGCCAATCCATCTCATTGGGATCTCTCCTTTGCTGACCCTCCACTTTACCAAGTATGATGTCCTTCTCCAGGGACTGGTCCCTTCTGATAACACATCCAAAATTTGAGAGACTAAGTCTCGCCATCCTGACTTCAAAGGAGCATTGTGGCTGTACTTCTAACACAGATTAGTTTGTACTTCTGGCAGTCCATGATACTTTTAATATTCTTCTCCAACCCCATAACTCAAATGTATCGATTCTTCTACTGTCTTTCTGATTCACTCTCCAACTTTCACATGCATATTAGGCGACTGAAATTACCTTGGATTGAGTTAGGCACATCTTAGTCTTCAAACTGACATCTTTGTTCTTGAACACTTTAAAGAGATCTTGTGCAATAGATTTGCCTAATGTAATTGATTTAATGACTTGTTTCCATGAGTATTGATAGTGAATCTAAGCAAAATGAAGTATTTGACAACTTCAACCTTTTCTCCAATTGTATGGATGCTATCTATTAGTCCATTGGTGAGGATTATTGTTTTCTTTACATTGAAGTGCAAGCCATACCAAAATCTGTGGTCTTTTATCTTCATCAGTAAGTATTTTAAGTCCTCTTCACTTTCAGCAAGCAAGTTTATATCATCTCACTTTAGTAATGTGAAACTGATTTGCCATAGAACTAATAATTACAGCAGTTCTAATGTCCAGGTCCTTTGATTTCAGGTCAAGGACACTCATAGGCAGATGTAAAGAAAAGTGGGTACTGGGTATGGAGAAGGTGTACATTTTGAGCTGCTTCTCTAACAATGGAAGTAATCATTCCTTTCATGTTGTACCATCTTTCTTTGGAATGGACAGACATATGGATCTCTTTCAGTCAGTTTTTCAGGTAGTTGATTTCAAAATTTCTTAGCATAGATAAGTGAGCACCTCCAGTACTGCATTCCTTTACTCTAAAAGAAAAGAGGATTTGAAGCTCTTACTGATGAAGATTAAAGTCTACAGCCTTCAATATGGATTGTTGTTGTTGTTGTTATGAGCTGTGGAGTTGGTTCTGACTCATAGAGACCCTGTACAGGGTTTCCGAGGCTGTAAATCTTTACGGGAGCAGAAAGCCTCATCTTTCTCCCATGGAACAGCTGGCAGTTTCGAACTGCTGACCTTACGGTTCACAGCCTGATTGGTAACGACGACAACAACAACACTATCAGAGCTCCTCAATATGGATTACACCTCAATAAAATGAAAACAAAAATCCTCATAATGGAACCAATAAATGGAGAGCATACTGAAATTGTCAAGGAAATCATTTTACTTGGATCCATAATCAACACCCATGGAAACCTCCCTCAGGAAATGAAATGGCATATTGCATTGGGCGAATCTGATGCAAAAGACTTTTAAAGTGTTAAAAAGATATCAAGGTACACTTGATCTAAGCTAGGTATTTTCAAATACCTCATAAGACTGTGAAAGCTGGACAATGAATAAGGAAGACCAGATAGTAGTTGATATCTTTTGAATTATGATGTTAGCAAAAAATATTAAATATGCCATGAACTGCCAGAAGAGAAAACAAATCTGTTTTGGAAAAAGTACAGCTGAAATGCTTCTTAGAAGCAAAGACTACAAGGTGTCATTGCACACACTTTGGACATAACATGGCAAAGAATAGGTATTCTAGAGCATTTTATTATTCTCATAAGAAACCTGTACATTGACCAAGAGGCAGATGTTCAAACAGAACAAGGGGATACTGAATGGTTTAAATCAAGAAAGTAGTGTGTCAGGGTTGTATCCTTTCACCATACTTATTCAACCTGTATGTTGAGCAAATAATCCAAGAAGCTGGGTTTTATAAAGAAGAACATGGTATCAGTATTGGAGGGAAACTCATTAACAACCTGCGATATACAGATGACACAACCTTGCTTGCTGAAAATGAAGAGGATTTAAAATGCTTACTGATAAAGATCAAAGACTACAGTCTTCAGTATGGGTTGCACCTCAATGTAAAGAAAGCAAAAATCCTCACAAATGAACCAATAAGTAACACCATAATAAATGATGAAAAGATTGGAGTTGTCAAAGACTTCATTTTGCATAGATCCACAATTAACACTCATGCAAGCAGCAGTGAAGAAAACAAACAATATATTTATTGCTTTAGGTAAATCTGATGCACAATATCTCTTTAAAGTGTTGAAGAGCAAAGATATTAGTTTGAGGACTAAAAAGGTGTGCTCACCCCAAACCATACTATTTTCAGTTGCTTCATCGGCATGTGAAAGTTGGACAAGTAAGGAAGACCACAGAAGGATTGGTGTATTTGAGTTATGGTGTTGTAGAAGAATACTGAACGTACCATGGACAGCCTGAAGAACAAATAGCTCTGTGTTGGAAGAAGTAAAAACAGAGTGTACCTTAGAAGCCAGGATGGTGAGACTTATATATTTCCCTCCTTCAAAGATTGAAGCCCCAAGTTGATTACTGCCCAGTGCCTACACACACTTGTTTTATGTATGGTCCCAGCTTTCATTATTATTTACAACAAAGTGGTAAGTCTTATACTAGCTTCTACATGACAAGTGGATTCAGAAGCCTCACTAAACTGTGACTCACCAACACTACCATGTCTTCAAAGGTCCTTTCCAAAAGAAATAGCACCAAGGAAAACAGATGGACACCAGCAATGATTCTGACTTCTGAACAAACTAAACTGCTGTTTTTAGGTAACCAATACAATACTCAGCTGTGAAAATGAAGGGTTAATGATTTGCTGATATGAAGAATGATGACCGTATTTCTTGTATCAGTTAAGAACACAAACAAATCAATTAGTCTCAGAAAATTCTTAACACTTAAGGGACATCTTCCTCCTTCAGATTTCCTCCATGGACTAGAGAAAGTATTATAAACATAACAAGAAAAAGTTCTGCCGATTGGTCCAAATTTTAGCAGTCTAGTGTATAAAAATCCTGGAATAGAAAGAGTTCTCAGAATCTGGGAAACTCACTTCTGAACAGAAGCCCACCCTCCACACCTGACACCATGGCCCAATCCTGCTGCTCCCCTTGCTGCCAGCCCACCTGCTGCCAGCCTTGCTGCCGCCCTACTTGCTGTCAAACCACCTGCTGCACCACCTGCTACCAACCAGCTTGTGGGACCAGCTGTTGCCGTCCTTCCTGTTGCAGCACACCCTGCTGCCAGCCCACCTGCTGTGAGTCCAGCTGTTGCCAGCCTTGCTGCCGCCCTGTGGGCTGCTGCCAGCCAGCTTGCTCTGGCCCCGTGTATTGCCACAGAACCTGCTATCTCCCAACATGCGTCAGCCTGCCTGGTTGCCTGCCTGAGAGCTTTGGGGCCGTCTGCTGCCAGCCCTGTTGCCGTCCAGCCTGCTGTGTGTCCGGCTGCTGCCAGCCCTGCTGCCGTCCAGCCTGCTGCGTGTCCAGCTGCTGCCGCCCAGCCTGCTGCGTGTCCAGCTGCTGCCAGCCCTGCTTCCGCCCAGCCTGCTGCGTGTCCAGCTGCTGCCAGCCCTGCTGCTGCCCAACCTGCTGCCAGCCCTGCTGCCGTCCAGCCTGCTGTGTGTCCAGCTGCTGCCAGCCCTGCTGCCGTCCAGCCTGCTGTGTGTCCAGCTGCTGTCGCCCAACCTGCTGCATGTCCAGCTGCTGCCAGCCCTGTTGCCGTCCAGCCTGCTGCGTGTCCAGCTGCTGCCAGCCCTGCTGCCGCCCAACCTGCTGTCAGACCACCTGCTGTAAGACTACCTGCTTTCGTCCATGCTGTGTCTCCAGCTGCTGCCAACCTTCCTGCTGCTGATCGTCTTGCTGAAGACCCACCCCCTGCCACATTCCAACTTGCCATCAGCCCACACAGGGCCTGCAACAAAATCACTTCCCAGGCTTTGCCATGCTGAAAAGTTCTGTTAGTTGTCTTTTTGGATAAGTGCTGAGAGTCTGCTTTATTCACTGCAACCTACTTCACTCTGGTCTTCGTTTTCTGTAGATCAGTGTTCCAGCTCCTGCTCTGCTTTATCTGTTCTTCACCTAAGTCGTGTTCTCGGATATGAGAAAAATAGCCTTCTTTCACCCTTCCTATCTCAGTAACTTTAAAAACAAACAAATGCATCTTGACTTTTTTGTGCCGACCTCTTCTCAATAATAAATAATAAATATTTCCTCAATGTCTGCATTGCTCTTGTGTCTTGCTTTTCTCTTTTATGTTCATTTTTATATGACATCCTAACTACAGGGCATGCTCCCTGTTTAGTTCCTAAAAAAATTGACACCGCCTTGCATCTTTTCCACTTTTTCCTTTTGTTTCCACAGCATTTCCTTTCTAAGAGCTTACATTCATACTACATTTCACTGACTGTCATCCCTCCTATTCTCACAGAAGCCTTCTGAGATGGTCAAAGCCAGGAGTATATTTGGTGATCTGTGTATGAGGGAAGTGGCCCACTCACCATCAGGGCATCCAGTGCACTGGACTTCTTGTTTTAACTTGGGGGAACTTCCATCACATCTCACTGCAAGTGGAAACAACACCAATGCACTTGAACTCTGAGAAGTGGACAGTTTACTACTTTCATGCACAAGGCATTTTTCTGTGTACAAGTAGAGGAATGGGAAAGAATTGTGCTCCACCAGAATCCATGATTGAGATGGGGGTGATATGACGGTAACCTCAGGTCTAAATTTCTTAAAATGTGCATGAAATTGAGAATTTCCTGCACAAAAATAATCTAAACTGACATGAGGAAGAGAAAATCTGAAGAACTTTCTATTTAAAAAAATTGGACAACGTTTAAAAATTCTAACTCCTTTCCTGAAATATCCACATACCATGCAAGAACTAATGGCTTCCACTAGTGTATTTTGCTAATCACCAAATAGACAAAGAAGAAATAATAAAGTTTAAAGGTCTTCTAGATATTATAAAAATGTAATAATGTGCAAATTATTCTACAAGTCCAGTATAAATTTCACACATGTCCAGTATAAATTTCAAACATAGTACAGCTAGGTCAAGAAAGTAAAGGTCCAGGCAAGCACACTAATGCAAACCACAGAGATGCAAAATTTCTCAACAAAATATTAACAGAAAGAATTCTATGCTTCATACAGAGACCAATGCATCATAACCCAATTGGTTTATTCCAGCAATGCAAGGTAGACTCAGCATTCGAAAATTGCTCAGTGTAGTTCATCACCTTACCAAAATACAGTAACTTTCCCCCATGATTAACTTAATAGATCCTGCAAGAGCATTTTGCACCTTTTAGAAAATGTACCTTACATGGTTTTATAAAATTATAAACTATGCATCAATCACACCTACTCAGCATCTCTAGAAAGTTCCATCCAACACCAACAGAATACACATTTTTCTTAAACACACATGGAAAGCTCTCCTGGATATACTAAGGCATAATATAAGCCTCTATAAATTTAGAAGGATTGAAATCACACAAAGTTATTCTCCAACCACAATGAAACTTACTTTAAAATGAACAAGATGAGATTGAGAAATTTCACAAACATGGAACTAAAAAATCATATGTATAAATAAACAGTGGGTCACATAAGAAATCATAAGGAAAAATACACAATACATTGATGTCTCAAATCAATAATCTGACTTTGCATATTGGATGAAACCAAATGTTGATTCTCCTAAAAGATTAACAAAATTGCAAAATTTATGCTAGAATAAACAAGAGGGGGAAAAGAGAGAGAGAGAAGACTGCAATTATTAAAATCATGAGTGAATGAGAGGTAGTCCTACTGAACATACAGGAAAGAACAAGATTATAAAGAGATGCTATGAACAACTGAATGCACACAAATGAAAACTCTTCACATGGCTAGGGTGAATACAAGATGGCATAGACATACTGGCACACAGTTAGACAGTTCCTGTAAGCTTAAACATAGAGTTAGCCTATAGCCTCATAGGAATCTACCCAAAAAACAGAAGTCTGTGTTCACATGAAAACTTGTATATGAATGTTCATATCAGCACTATTCATAAATAACAAAAAGTGGAATTCACGAAAATGCCCATGAACTGATAAATACGTAAATACACCTTGGCATATCCATACAATGAATTCTTTTTCAGTCATAAAAAGGAATGAAGTACTGATACAGGTTACAAGATAAATAGCTCTCAAAAACATCATGCTAAATGACAAAAGCTAAGTGCAAAAGGCTACATATTGTGTGATTCCATTTATAGTAACTTTTCAGAACAGACAAAGTTATAAAGACAGAAAGCAAATTAGTGTTGGCCAGGAGATGGAAGGAAGAGGGATGGGAAGTAACTGCCAATGAACACCAGGTTTCTTTATTGAAGTGATGAAAAGATTCTAAAATTGCAAAGGGCTGATGTTTATAAATATACCAAAATCACTAAACTGTACACTTACAAGTGAGAAATTTTATGGTATATGAATTATGCTTGCAAACAGTGTGGCATTTAAGGAAAGGTTCCCCTTTAGGGACAAGAATGAAACAAAGCACTTTTTTATAACCACTTCTATTCAACCTTGTTTTGGAGGTTGTATGCAGTATACTGAGGCAAGAGGAAGAATAACAGATAATAGGATTTATAATGAAATAATGCAATGCTCAAAATTCACAGATCACATTACACTATACACAGAAAACTCAAATAATCTATGTACAAATGATTCAAATTGATATGGGTATTTAGCAAGGTTTCTAGATACTAAACGGAGTCCTAATGTAGTGTTGTGGGTTAATGCGTTAGACTACAAAGTCAGTTTGAACTGCAAGGTCGGCAGTTCAAGCTCATCACTCACCCCTCAGAGAAACCCAATATGGGGTCACTATGAGTTGGAACCAACTCAATGGCCCTTAATAACAACAACTAGAAACTGGAGGGTCAATATACAAAAATATTTTTGTGACAGAAATAAACAGATACAAACATTGAACCAAGATAATTCCATTTATAGCATCATACACTATTTAATTAAGAATAAATGTAATAATGATGTACAAGAACTCTACACAGGAATCTATAAGACATTATTATGAAACATTAAAGAAATTTTAAATAATAAAAAAGATAAGCTATACTATTGAACTAGAAGACTCACTGTTGGAAAAAAAAATCACTGCTCTCCAAAATGATCCGTGAATGCAATATAAATCCAGAAAAAAAAAAAAACCCAAATAGCTTTGTGGGTATATGTGAGGGCTAGGAGTGGCAGAGTGTGTGAATTGCAAGTTGATTGTACAAGTTATATGAATATGCAAAAGATCAAGAACATTTTAATCAGAAGGAAAAGTAGGAATATTTATACAATCAGAAACCAAGACATTTAAAAGATTTGTTGTACTTTAGATGGTATGATTGGTTTTAGCAAAAGAATAAAGAAGTAGACAAACAGAACGGAATAACAAAACAAAAAAAAGATCCAAGCATCTAAAGTAATTTGATTTATAGTAAAAGTAATAGAGCAGATTACTGGGCAGAGATTGGTCTTTTAAAAACATGATCTGGAACAATACAATATCTGCCTGCAGCAAGGGACCAAGGATGACTTGTTTTCTACCTTTTATATAAAATTCAATTCCAGGTATATGTTAGATACCAGAGATCTGGTGTGGTGCTGTAGAATCAGTACTGGATTGCAAAACATGAGGTTGGCTGTTCAAACTCACCAGCAGCTCTTTGGAAACCCTATATAGGGTCACTATGAGTTGGAAGCAGCTTGACAGCACTTAACAACAACAACAACAACAACAACAAATGCAAAAGTCAAAACAATAAGGCATTTAGAAAATAAAATAGAAGAATATCTTTATGATCTTGGGCTACTGGAGTAAATGCACCAAAACCAGGAAAAGATAAATTCACTGGACTATTTTATAAACAGGAGTCCTGGTGTGGCACTGTGGGTTAATGCACCAGACTGCAAAGCCATTTAAACAGCTGCTCCTTGGAAACCCTATACAGGACCGCTATGGGTTAGAACCGACCCAACGGCACTTCACAACAACATCAACATCTTATAAACAAGAGCAACTACTTAGAAAAAGTGTGAAAATACAAGACACAACAGAGGGGAAATTATTTGTAACATTCATAATATATATAATGTTGTTGTTGTTAAGTGCCGTCGAGTCAGTTCCCACCCATAGTGACCCTGTACAGGGTTTCCAAGGCTGTAAATCTTTACAGGAGCAGAAAGCTTCATCTTTCCCGCGGCTGGTAGTTTCGAACTGCTGACTTAAGGTTTGCAGCTCGATTCTTAAC